CGCCAACATAGCTATTGCTATGGCGACAATGCAACGACCGCCCAATACCCCAAATCTTGGCAATTCGTGATGATATGCAAGCCTACGGCGATCGCTATGGCCTGACCGCGCGAGATTGCGAACCAAGCTCGGGCTCTGACCGCCTTAGTCGAATCCAGCCACAGTCGTCAGTACTCAAGTCGCTCATAACCACCCAACCAACGTGGCTCGCGCAACAACGACCCGTCAGACAACCGTCAAGGCAGAAACGATGATCATGATGGTAACCGGGACGACAACCGCCGCAACTACCGGAACGACCACCGCTGAGATGACCGCGACAATTGCCGTGATAACCGCGGTCACAGGGTCAACTAGGGGGGCAATTGGGATCGCCGTGATGGCAATAACGATCTCCGCCATTACCTCGGAGAACACGATCTGCGTGATCGCATTAACCAAAGAGCCAACGATCGTGCATCCCACGAAAGCTATCGCCGTATGGAATATGATACCACCCACGGCCCTTAGGGTTTGAAGTAGTTTAACCCTCACCTTTGCCAAGTCATATGGCCCAAAAACTTCAAGCTCGAAAAACTCCAGAAGTACGACGACAAGGAAAACCTCGAGTTATGGGTCATGCTCTATGAAACTGCGTGTAGATCAGCCATGGCTGACGAGCACGTCATGTCAAATTACTTCCCAGTCGTCGTTGGCCATGTAGGACACCAATGGTTGGTCAGCTTGCCGGCGAACTACTTTGATTCTTGGCAAGAGCTCAGGCAAGCATTCATCGACAACTTCATTGCTACTTGCGAACAACCCGGCAACAAATATGATCTGTAGCGGATTCGAGATCGCAAAAATGAGCCACTGCGCGAGTACGTCCGACGCTTCTCGGAGATGCGCATCAAGGTCCCATCAATCTCCGACAACGAGGCAATCAAAGCTTTCATCACTGGTCTCTGCTTCCATGATGCCCTAAGGGACAAGCTCCTCCGCAAAAGACCTGAATCGGTCACAGCGCTCCTAGCCACTACTAAAAAATATGCGGATGCCGATGATGCTAAAAAGATAATCGTCGAAGAAGCAGCAAGGGTTCCATGCTCCGACCACCCCCACACCGTGATGACTATCGTGGCAACCGTGGTCGGAACGACAATTTTGATCACCGCAACCAGCGCAACGATTCCCACGACCACCGCGACCAGCGTAATCAGCAGCGTAATCAACGTGACGATTACAGTAGCAAGCGTGCTAGGGAAGATGACGGCGAAGTCAACATCGATAAAAAAGGTGGCGGACATCGCAATTACGAAGAAGACTACGCCAAAGCATTTAAAGGACCCTGCCAGCTCCATCCCAAGTCAAACCATACCATGGAGGATTGCCGTGTTCTCAAATCCATCTATACGCGCCAACAGGCTCTGGATAAATCCGACAAGCCTAACGACGCAGGGGTGCAGCGTGACGAGGACAACGATGATGAAGATGCAGATCCCCGTCACAAGTATGACAAGCCAACCGACCATGTCCATACCATCATTGGGGGCAGAGTGTTCATCGAGACCAAACGAGAGCGCAAGCTACTCGCTCATGCCTGCTTGAACGTGGCCAATGCCGACAACCTCATCGCCGATCCACGGCTCCCTCCTTGGTCTCACCGCGAGATCTCCTTCAGTGGAAAGGACCAATGGGCTACAATACCTGAGCCAGGGCATTTTCCTCTGGTTCTCGATCCTTGTATCAACAAGGTTCAGTTCGATAGAGTGCTGATTGATGGCGGCAGTTCCATCGATATACTGTTGAAGAACAGTTTGCCGGCCCTGAAGATAACCCAGGCTGATCTCAAGCCATACGAGGCACAGTTCTGGGGTGTTCTCCCTAGACAAAGCTCCACACCTCTCGGGCAGATCACGCTACATGTGCAATTTGGTACTCCAGACCACTTCCGCACCGACTACATCAACTTCGTGGTCGCTGACTTCGAAGGCACCTACAATGCTATCCTTGGTCGACCAGCGCTCACCAAGTTCATGGCCATACCTCACTACAGGTATTTGGTGCTCAAGATGCCTACTGAGAAGGGGGTTCTAACTCTCAGGGGCAACGTATACGCAGCTTACACCTGCGAGGAGGATATCTTCAAAATAGCAGAGGCTCACGACCTCTCTATTCGCATGGCCGAGACCACGCTCGATGCCAAGAAGACCCCAGACGATCACCTAGAGATTCCAAAGCTCGAGGACCCACGCAAGAACATCAAGTCCAAAGAGCACAAAGCGATCCAGCTGGTTGATGGCGATCCCAGCAAAACGGCCCTTATCGGGGCCAACCTGGATCCTAAATAGGAAGACACGCTCGTTAGGTTCTTGAGAAGCAACGTGGGTGTGTTCGTATGGAAACCCACTGACATGCCCGGTGTACCTCGGAACCTGATCGAGCACTCCTTAAATGTCAATGGCAAGGTCAAACCCATCAAACAGAAGCTACGACGGTTCACTCACGACAAAAAGGAGGCTATTAGGGTAGAAGTTACACGGCTTTTAGCAGCCAGATTTATCAAAGAAGTATATCATCTGGAGTGGTTAGCCAACCCGATTCTTGTACGCAAAAAGAATAATGAATGGAGAATGTGCGTTGATTATACTGATCTCTACAAACACTGCCCTAAAGACCCCTTCGGCTTACCTCGCATAGACAAGGTCATAGATTCAACCACCGGTTGCGAGCTGCTTTCCTTTCTCGATTGCTACTCTAGTTATCACCAGATCGCTCTCAAAAAGGACGACTAGAAAAGGGGATCCTTCATCACGCCCTTCGGCGCCTACTGCTACACGACCATGTTGTTCGGGCTCAAGAACGCTGGGGCTACCTACCAACGCGCCATACAGGCCTGCCTCAAAGACGAGATAAAAGACGACCTTGTCGAGGCTTATGTTGATGATGTAGTCGTTAAAACCAAGGAAGCATACACCCTTGTTGACAACCTAGAGCGTACCTTTGCAGTCCTTAACACATTCCAATAGAAATTAAACCCAAAGAAGTGCATCTTTGGTGTCCCATCTGGTATACTGCTCGGCAACGTCGTCAGTCACGATGACATACGCCCTAACCCAGAGAAGGTAAAAGTTGTCTTGGACATGAAGCCACCCAAAAAGGTAAGGATGTTCGGAAGCTTACCGGATGCATGGCTGCCCTCAGTCATTTTATATCAAGATTAGGTGAAAAAGGACTACCGTTTTTTAAGCTACTCAAAGCATCCAAGAAGTTTGAGTGGTCGGAGGAAGCAGACACTGCCTTTACACAGCTGAAACAATTCCTTACATCACCTCCGGTCCTCACTGCTCCTAGAGAAGATGAAACCCTCCTGCTTTACATTGCAGCAACTAATTGAGTGGTCTCCACTGCCATGGTGGTCGAGCGCGACGAGCCCGACCACGTATACAAGGTACAGCGACCAATCTATTTCATCAGTGAGGTACTCAATGAATCCAAGACCAGGTACCCCCTAGATTCAGAAGCTGATCTACGCCATACTGATTACATCCCAAAAGTTGAAACACTACTTCGACGGATATCGTGTGGTGGTCATGACCGAGTACCCTCTGGGAGACATCATTTGCAACAAGGATGCGAACGGGCGCATCGTCAAATGGGCAATGGAGTTATGCTCTTTCTCCTTGGAATTTGCAAGCCATACTACAATCAAGTCTCAGGCACTTGTCGATTTTATCGTCGAGTGGACAGACTTAAGCACGCCTGCCTCTCAGGGGCCCGCAGAGTATTGGAATATGTAC